GCAACAGTTAGGGAAATGTGGGATGGGTTACAGCTTGGTGGGAGCACAGAGCATGGGGCTGTGGCTGGCTGCAACGTGGAGCCCTCACCCAGGGTGATGGCAGCAGCATAGAGCTTGGGTGGTCAGAGTGTGGTATGGGTGCAAGGGGGAAGGGGTAGGAGCCCTTACACACTTCCCACCCATGGCACGCAGCCCTGCCAGGCAGCAGGGGGGGTGGGGCACTCTGCTCGGCCCTGGCACCTGGCTTCGGCTAGTGCTGTGAGGAGCACAGCCCCCACTGGCCGCTTGTTTCCCCAGTGCTCCCCTCACTTGCAGGGCACAGGAGGGAAGCCCCAGGCACTGGAGCAGGCTGGGGCAGGGAAAGCAGCTGTGCATGGGGCTTCCCTCCTGTGCCCCATGAGTGCAGGGAGTGCCAGGGAAATAAATGGCCCGGAAGGGGCTGTCCTCCTCGCTGCAACATGCAGCACTGGCCAGAGCCAGACACCAGCGCCTCTGCCTGCTGCTGCACCATGGGACGAGTGTAGGGGGTCCTCACATGCCTCCCATTCTCCTTCACACTCCACAAACCACACACACACACACACACACACACACACACACACACACACACACAGTGTTGCCTACCTTGACAGGAGAGGAGAGTGTGTTCCACCCACACCCCACAAATGCCACACAAGCCCCCAACATACCCTATGCACAACATACCCCCCCCCCCCACCCCCCCCCCCCCAGCCACACCCTCTCAAACTCCCCATTCCACCACCCCCCCCATAAACACCCCCACCCCCTGCCATAGACACACAAACACCCCACACTCCACCATACACACACACACGCAACCTCTTCACCCCACGATACACAAACACACACACACACACACCTCCACCACCCTCTACCACACACACACACACACACACACACACAAACCCCCCCACCACACATGTAATACAAAAGACTAAGAATTTATTTAATTATTATGCAATCATCTCTATATACAGTACACAAAACACAAATCATGACAAAAACATTTTTTGTAATAAAATGTTATAATAGGTGTTTGACTTTTAGTGTATTTGGCTTTTTCTGGTTCTAAGATGGCAATTCCCCCCCTCCCAAAAGGGGTATTTCTGGGGGCACAGGAAGGGACTTCCAGTGGCAAAAGTCAAGGGTTAGGGGTCAGACTTACAGCCCCAAGATGGCGGCCAGGGGGCAGGACCCCTGTCAAGGGGCAGGGCTACCCATGTGACCTTCGACAGCTTACGAAACTTCATTAAGCAGCCTACAAATTCCTCAATCGCTATAATAAAGTTAATTCTAAATATCTATAAATGTTGGTGTTTGATTTTGGATTTTTTATCATGGAAAATCAGAACCCCCCCCTGCCCCCCTTGCTCACCAGAATGCAGGTCCAACTGCAGCTGTCACCCCACACCCCCATAGTTTTGTGGCGCTAGGCAGCTGATATGCCAGTGCCCCTCACTCCTGACCCCAAGCCCCCCCAGCCATGCTGGTGCCCCTCACTCCCAACCCACAGACCTGCTCACCCTGCTCCCAGCCCCCCAGTATGTGAGGAAGGGAGTAGGTGTGTGGGGGTCATAGGCATGACAGGGGGATCATGTGCCCCCTGAAATTTCTGCACCCACAGTAGGGTGCAGGGCTGCAGCCAGGCTGAACCAGCTGCAGAGGAGCCATTTCCATAGCCCAGCATACAGAACCCAGCACATGGAGCACTGTGCCACCATGGTGAGGTAAGAAAGCAGCAGTGGCACAGAGTTGTGACCCCCGCTGTTGCCAGGCAGGTAGGGGGCACCTTGCCTTGGCAGTGATGGATGCAGAGATGGCTCCTGCCCAGAGCTGGTCCAACCTGGCTCCAGCCCCGTGCTCTGCTGTGGGTGCAGAAATCTTGGGGGACACATGCGCCACCCACCTCTGCTCAACCCACCCCCACAATGTGCAGCCTGTGCCTCCCCCACAATAAACTTACTTGAAGGGAGCTGTGGGAGCTGCTCTCCACCGCTGTCTGGCTGCCATATGCAAGTGCATGCACATGTGTGGCGCCCCTTGCCTCTGATCACACTCCTGCTGCTCCCCGCAGCCCCTTGCAGTCTGGAACTCGCCCATTCTGCAAAGGGAAACCTAGGGTTTCCCATGGTTTTCTCCTTTAAAGGGGAAATCCGTGATTTTTTCCTTTAAGAATATTTTTCTCTATTAAAGGAGAAAAATCTCCTTTTCCCACAGCAAGTGGAAAACCCAGAACCCTGCTTATTAAGTATGTTATCTAAGCACTTAGTTAAAATATTTTTTAAAAATCCCCCCCCAATCTTAGTGTATTGCATGAAATAATACAACTACTATTGCAAAAACTTGTTCTAGTACTACAGGGTTACTGGCTTCTTCACTATATATATGAAGCTGAAAGTGAAGAAGTCAGTAACCCTGTAGTACTAGAGAAAGTTTTTGCAATAGTAGTTGTATTATTTCATGCTATACGCTAGGATTAGGGAGCCACAACTGGAAAAGAACTCATAACACTTAATGTGTAGGTTTGCAAGTCCTCTAAAAAAATGCAATTTTATTAATACAATTTAGAGCAGACGTAGAGTGATTGTAAAAGAATACAGGGAACTGCTGCTTTGGGTAGTATTCAGGATAAAACTAAATGCACACAACTTCTACTACTGCATTTCACATTAAAAAAAAAAGAGGTACACATTACCTATCCTCTCCCAATTGTTTTTACATCATCTCTTCAGACACCTTCACTGACTAATTCAGCTGATTTCAGATTTGTTTATTAGAAGCTGGGCCTCAGTTCTGCTTACCAACAGGACTTACCCATATAAAAGTTACACTGGTTAAACTAAACCAGTTTGAAAATGAAATAAATTAGTACAGATACCCATGGAGCTTACACACTAGACATAGACCAGTTTTACATAGATCTGCATCCATGCAGAATGATTTAGTTAAATGACTTCAGTCTATTAAAAAAAAAAAAATCTCACTTTCAGTCATTCTGTTCCATGTCTGTGTATATGAGTGAGGCCTAGCACTATCTGTGTTGCAAACTACAAGAGATAAGCAGATGTGGTTTGTTCTTTTTTTAAGCTCTGTGTAGCAGCCTTAAATTAGACTTTTGAAGTGAGATTTTAAACAGCAAGTCTCACCCCCTCAGGCTAGTCAGATGCTCTACCTCATTGAAGAAGTCTCCAGTGACCCCATCATTGACCCTCTCTAGCTGAATAGTGTGCACTCAACTCTTTCTGAAGAGTCACAGCCAGAACCTATCTGGGAAGGAGCTGGGAGGTTTTCTCCCCCTGCTCATTTGTTTTCAATGCCCAGGTTTAACAAATTGTTTTGTTTACATTTCTGGGCTCTAAAAGTAATTAGTTACAGATGGAGAAACAGGAGAGGCTCTATGGTTCAGACCTCTGCAAGGGGAATAAAGCAAAGGCTGCTGCTGCTAATTTTTATTAGATGTATTTGTAAACTCTACTACTTGACAGCTGAAGAGTTGTTCACAGGCAAAAAAGACCCAGATTTTATTTTCTTGTGTTGGCACTTGCAGAAATACTTCACACCTGCCACTTTCTATCTGCCCAGGTATTCAGTGTTATCTTTTGAATTCACCCCATGCTTTACTGTCCCCATCAGCTTATATGCTGTATGGCAAACCAGGCAACATCAGCATTTTTATTTTAAACAAAAAAGCCATAGGTGTTCATGGAAAGCAACAGACTGAACTATGTTGCAGGATTCTGTAAGTATTTTACAGTATTGCAACAGCTATTTAAAACATTGAGGCAGTTATTGGTCTTGATTTTGCCTCTACCTACTCCATCAGCATTTATTCTCATTACAAAGGAACATAACAATAATTACAGCACCATATTCACTGTTGAGCTACACCTTGAGACAATCTAGGCACTTAAAACTGGTGCTGAAGGCAGCAGCCTGCTTGGTAAGTAGTGCTCTCCAAAGAATGCATGTAACACCTGCACACTTTTATCTGTCTCCCAAAACAACATATTTTTGAGATCTCTGATTTAGCAAGCATCTTATTTTTATTCATTTCTGTAACCTGAATCTGAAAGACTCCTTTGTGCTTACGTTTGGTTCAAAACAATACATGCAACTACTGGTTTTTAAAAGGTCCACACCTTTAAAATATCATATTAAGCCAATCTGCTGTGAAATCCCAAACTGAAGTGCATACTTTTAAAAAGTAACTCAAGAATGTGAAAAAATTTGAATGTCATTTAATCCTACAAATGACAGGAAGCAGAGATCCGTTGTTTAGTTATATTACCCTTTATTATTTTACAATATATTTCAAAAACTTTTACAGATGCCTTAACTGTTCTACAACAGCTGCAATACTGTTAAAAAAGCATACCTAGAGATTGAACGCACGAACAAACTGTAATATCTACTTGTACTGAACCATCATATCCAAAGGGGTGTAGTCCTTTAGTAAACAGATGTGCAGTAAAGCAAACACAGATGTTAATGAAGAAAAGTAAACGTTGCATTCATGACTACAGTATGGAGGGCTTTTCAAATACATTTGGTACTGTAACATTCTAGACAGCAATATGAGTAGTATTACATATTTAAAGCAATACATGCTCTGGAAAGCTTGTATTTGCAATCTGTGCGTGTAAACTTGAATCAAAATAAACTAGATATATAGAAAAAACATAAGACACATCTAGTTTGCAAGTAAGCTTTTTGTCCCAGAATGACACTGACCTTGAGTGGGTCAACTCTGACTGTTTTTACTATTTTACACTATTGTTTTTTTCCCCCCTCAGCATTGTTACATTAGTATGAAGCCTGTGGATGCTTTTTATTCCTCACTCATAGTACAGGGGAATAACCTTCATGGATTAAATTTTTGTCCATCTCCAAGTCGTAAATGTACCCAATATTATAACATGGATGTCACCACAAGTAAAGCATTTTATAGTTAGTTTTATAACAGCATTACTGTTTCTCAGCTGTATTCCTGCGGTGTAACAAGGCAGCACTGTAGTATTCAGAACAGTGTCTGGAACCCTCACAAGTATAAAACGCTTACCAGCATCTCCAGTATCTACTTTCTTAGATTCTATCTACAAAAGTTTTACTTTTGTTATCATTTCTGGTCACAAATGAAACAAAATGCAATGACCAGGACACCTTCAAACATATACTGTCCAAAAACAACAAGGTAAAGCCAATTGTTCAGGTATGGTTTTGTTCTATCCAGGTTAGTATGCTTTCATGGCAGTATCATGAAAAGCTATGGGAGGAAACAATAACTACAGATCAGATTTCTACCAAGCAAAAGAAAAGTTTAAAAGGTTGAAATTTGTGAGTAGCACTGTGGCATAAGAGGCATTCATCTTTGCTTTATTTTTCAAGTACCATTATGTGGACGTTTTGCAATAACCAAGTAAAGCCCACATCCCATCATCCACTGCAGACAAAACTGCAATGAGCCATCACTAGGTTAAACCATAGCTTTAGGACTACAATCTTTTTAATCAGCCTAAACAGCAGTCAGTGGTATCCAATTACTATGTACAGCCAGTCACACCCATTATTATAAGTATTTTTTACAACAGCTTATTTACTGTACAACATAAGTATACTTCTTTCTGTTCATTTAACCTCTTATTTCATAACTCACATAACACTCCAGTGGTTAAGAAATGGAAAATATTTCAATGTTCATAAGAGGTTATAAATTTCAAGTATGTAGCATTCTATTTGAAGAGCAAAAAGGGAATATAACTTTTTTTTCCTGTGAACATGGTTGGCAAAAATAAAAAAATAAAGGCAGGGTATGCTTTTTCTCCTGGAGTCAAAAGAAATAATTTTAATTTGAATTAAGGCAAAACAAACAAACAAAAAAAAGGCATGTTGCTTCATGCACTACTAGAACCAACAAGAATTTCCTTCCATTAGTCCTGAGACTTGAGTTGAATGGGTTTTCCCTATCACGTGCTTCATGAAGTCAGACTTAAAGCTCCATATGAATAAATGTTTGGTTTTTAATAGTGGACCCATTTTTAAAAAGTGAGGCAATAAAATATACATGAAAAACAAAACAGCAACTTGATTCGAGGCCTCTGTCCTCTGACCCGCCTAACAGGCTAAATGTCCAATAAAAGGTAAATGCAGCATACATTTGTGTAATCTAAAATCTTTTTGTGATAATTTATTGCAAATTGCACTTGGCAGTTCACCACACCAATGGAAAACTGGCCCCCTGTTGGTTCATACAGTCCTTAAACCCCAGATGCAAGTCACCAGTAGAAAGACCTTGATAGAAAGTTTGCTGCTGTGCTGAGCCAGCTGGCTGCACCTTCTGGGTGTGACCCAACACGAGACACTGCTTTATCTTGTTCCTTTGTTGGGCTTTCATCCTCTGGCAAATATTCAGGTAGCTCTGTATTCTGTTCTACTTCTACTAGAGTATCTTGGAATGGAACCAGCATCTGAGTTATATAAAGAAGATGGTAATACTGAGACCCAGAGTGTTAAAAACAGAACATTTTGCTATGTTAGATACCTATCCATTTTATTTACAAACAGCCCCCACTTAGCGGTCTTAATTGGTTCCTAAAAAAACGAGCGTTAAATGAAATGAGCATTAAACAAAACCAAAAGTATTTGACGACCCAAGATGGTGACCGCGAGCATGAGAAAATTCACTGAGCGCTAAGTGAAATCAGGTATCAATTTCAAATGAGCATTATAGCAAAACAGCACTAAGTGAAGCAGCATTAAGCAGGGGTTGCCTGTATATCATATACTAGAATATTTAAGGTTACAGCAGAGCTGTCCAACTGGTGGCTTGCAAAGGATTAACACCCAGTTCATGTGCTCCTGCCTGGTCACTATTCCTCTTATGACTCCAGCTGCTGTTGCTGCTGGGGGTCTCTGGGCTCCCCTTCCGTCCAGCTTCTGCTTCCTGTCCTCTTCCCTGGAAGCAGGGAAGAACAGTCCAGGGTTCAGGGTGACCTGCATGGTAGGGTAGCCCAAAGGTTGGAGAGGAGGGGGAGCACGTGGCCATGGGGACAGTAAGTCCACAGTGGGAGGGAGCTGTGGCCCACACAGCATGTGGCCCCAGCTGCTCAGATGTTGGACAGCTGTAAGTTACAGGGGAAAAAAAGCCACATACTCTCAAGCAGACCACCTCCCCACCCCAAAAGACAGACAATCTTTCTCTAGACACAGGATATGAAAGTATTTGCTGCTTTCTAGCAAAGTAGTAAACACTGCTCCTCAAATTACTCTCTCTAGATCAGGAGATCCAAACATCAAGATATGCCAGTATTATATTTTCACCTCTTTTAAGAGAGTTCAACAATAACTTCTCTAATACTACTGTATATTCTCACATAAAACATGCCCCCTGAATAACACGCACCCTAATTTTGGAAGGCCCCAAGAAGCCTGAGTTCTCTGGGCCTGGAGCCTGGTACAGCCTGCTGGCTCCAGGGCTCTGTGCAGGGTCCAGTCCTCAGCACTGAGGGAAGGAAGGAAGGGGCAAGGACGGAGAGTGGCAGTGGTAAACTGCCATGACTCCAGTTCCATGGTAATAAATATTGGTTACAGCTCTGCCAACCCTCCACATTTCCATACCTATGGGAGCCCTTTTCCTCAACATATAATGCACACTACAAATTTTCCCCAGCTTTTTTTTTTTTTTTCCAGGGGGGATGGGGAAGATGTGGGTTATATGAGAGAAAATATGGCATATGGATGCACAACTATGCAGGACATATTTAAACCTTCTTTGTCACTGTTTTTATGCTGCAGAAGTACGAGATGTTGTCTAGTAAGATGCAATGGACATAGTGCAGTTAGGGAGAACCCAAGTGATCAGCTTCTATTTAGAATGATCTGTAATCTTACCTCCTCTCCACTTTCACTTTTCACAACTTGTTGTGCTTTCATAACTTTGGTTGATGCTATTGCCGTTGCCAAAGCCTACAACAGGGGGAGAAAAGAAAAAGCATGGAAACTTAAGACGGTCTTAAATGTGACATAACTGAAAGCAATGGGAAGGCGTGAAAGCAAGCACAGTAGTTAAGGGAACTTACCTCTGCTTTTAAGTCTGAGCGAATTCGGACCACACATCTTTGAACTGCCATTTGAAAAGTAAAACTAATAACTCCTTTAATTTTCAACAAGGCTTCTTCACAAAGATTCCTTCGAGACTAAAAAAGTAATTGAAGTATTAACATGCACGTTGAAACAATTTTGTAAAAGAAAAGCAATCATGCCAACAACATCTATTCTTAATATACAAACAATGCTATTTAATCTTGGTATATATCTCATCATAAGAGTTAAAAACATTTTTTGCTTTTATTTTAGAAGTCAAACAAGGGTGGAATCAACCATAAATAATTAGGGAAAAGGACTGAAAAGCAAAGAATATTTTTCTCTGTATGATTAGCTAAACAGTCCCCTGTGGTTTAGTTCTGATTGGCAGAAATGCTCATTGATAAGTAGTTGGTGTTTAAGTAGCCATTTATCAGACACCTTGTAACCACACTGACTGAATGCATCAAAACAGCTGTTGTATTCTTTAGCTACCTCATCTGTAGTCGCTCGTGGTTATCACTGCACAGAATAAACTTAAATATTTTTCCTTTGAAATGAGTTGTTTGATAAAAACAATCCACAGAAACTGACAATGCCTACTGTGCAACAACACATTGACCTGTACCAGGTGCATCTACTCTATATTAATTACCTCAGTAAGTTTCATTAAATTTTTAGTTATTTAGAAAAAATATTACAATAGAATAAAACAGCTATTAGGGCACTGCTACCACAGGGAGTGGGGAAAAAAAAACCCTATTCTATAGCACAGTCATTTTCAACTAGGGTGTTGCTGAGCCACACAATATTATCACTATGAAGTATACAAACACCTACATATGATTCACAAGATAAATTTGAAGATTTCATATAGGAATCCCTAGTATTCAAAACCTACTCACCTGTTGTGGAATCTGAGTTCTTTGCAACAAAAGCACTGCACAATTTTTTTCCCCATAGTTAAAAAATAAGAGAGCGCCAAGAGCTGGCATCTTCTGAGGGGTGCCTGGAGTCTAAAAAGGTTAAGAACTGCTGCTATTAGCACAGTCCCAACCTTTTAAAACTCAAGGCACCCCTTACTAGGCTTAAGGTACCTCTGGTAAAAGATCAGGCCTTAGTTTTCATTTGTTTTTTTGAGTACAGAAAAATTTTAAAAAGCAGTTCTATTGCAAATAACTCAGAAAGACCACAACAGGTCAAAAGATTTTTAATGCTAGGGATTCTGATTTGAAATCTCTGAGTTTTATGTTGTGAAAGGCAGAGTAGATTTATACTTTGCAGACTATCTAGAGTAGATAGATATAGATATAGATATATAGCACAAACTTTTGTGAGCTAAAGCTTATTTCATCAGATGCTTAAATGCTCATCTGATGAAGTGAGCTTCAGCTCATGAAAGCTTGCGATACATCTGTTTGTCAACCTACCTACTTTGGTTGGTTTATAAGGTGCAAATCTACCCTGCCTCTGCTCGACTTCAGACTAACATGGCAAACTACATGTCTATCTTGTGAGCCATGTTTGCATACCTAACAGTAATACTGTAACATTACACGGCACCCTTGAAAGGATCTTGCAGCACTCTGGTTAAAGATCACTGCTGCAGTGGAATAACAAAATACACCTTCATGGTTTCCTATAAAATCAGGTGCTGGATTCAAAATCACTTAAATGGTAAAAGTGCTGCCAGATCCTAAAATGAAAGGTGCTATACAAACATATTAATATTTGTTGTTATATTGTAATTACTGATCAGTACTTACGACAGTTCTGGTTTCAACACAGAAAATGGTATATTAATGTCATTACCACCCTGCTTAAGCTAGTCTATCCAGAGGCATCACCCCACCCCTCAACAATTCTTCATACTCCCTTTTGCTTCATGCAGATGTGAAGTGTCAAAACATATCTGACAGGAGGAAAAAGCTGCAATTACAATGCGAGGATCAGGCCAATGGGTGCAAAGAACACTTTTTGTGCACAAGACAGATTGCACAGTACAAGTGAAACATGAAACAGTCTCTGGCTATTGAGGATATATAGCATGAGAAGCAAAATGATTTAGCAGACTAAAGAATCAAAAATTATATAGATGCACACCAACTAATACAGATCTCCAATCCCTTTATAAGATCTTGGTCAACTCATATAACCTCTGCGCTTCAACTGCCCTGAATGGGGATAAATCTTATTCTATAGTGGATTTCATAGGCGATACATAGGGGGAACACATGCCCACCCTGAGGTTGGCCCTCGCTGGCCAGGGAGTGGGGGCGCCAAGAGAGACGCCGGCCAGTGCGCCCCCCCCCCCCAAGACTGGCGCCAGCCAGGGACTGCAGGCACTGAGAGAAGCACCAGCAGCATTTCAGGTTTTGCCGCTGGTGCGTCTGGGGTTTTCGACCAGACACTGGGGGGGACCCCCCCGCCCAATTGCTGATCAGCTGCTGGTACCCACCCCCCACAAGCGGGAGGCACCAGTCACCCATAGTGGGTTTGATGGTAAAACACTACTCAGAGGGTAAAAACTAATCATAGTTGTATACACTGCTTCACTAGGAGGAGGCTTGGCATTCCTCAGTCTAACTGGACAGATGTTCTTAGCATAACTTGTCTAAAAGTTGGCAATTATGCTTACACTGTATTGTATACAACTGGGAGAGATTTCCTCAACAAGCTAAAGGGCCTAGGTTTAGCAAAGGCGTTATCTAGAATTCTTGTGCACTTTCCACAATGAATCAAATCAAGTCTGTGGTGCATATATATGAAACAAATCTGTTCCCAAAGTAAATCAGACAATTATATGTATTGTAGTATAATTACAGTGGAAAAAACATTATTTACAGCTGAAGAGGGAGAAAGGCGGATGGCAAACACCTCTTCATGGGCCTAATCAAAAGTGCTAAGGATTTAACTTTAGCTCTCAAACCATCCACATTATTTGGAGTTGACAAAACTACAATCAACTGTTGCTAAAGTTACATAGAGAAAAGGTTTCTATTAGTAAAAGGACTGAAGGTCTGAAATGGACTTCTGATCAACGAGTGAGGCAAGTAACTTGAACTGCTTCGAGATGGAACCTAACAAATTTATGGAAGGGACAGTATCATAGGACAGGGGCATTCTTGGAACCCGGTAGGGGTCCTGATGTGCACCAGGACAGTGGGGTACCAAGGGCTTAAGTGTCTCTATACTAATGCTAGGAGCATGGGGAACAAGCAGAAGGAACTCACACTCCTGTTTGCAAACAAAGACTTCAACCTGGTTGGATTAACTGAAACCTGGTGGGACCATACCCATGATTGGGCAGTAGGCACTGAGGCCTACAGGCTGTACAGACATAACAGAGTGGGGAAAAAGAAGGGGGAGGGGGGCATTGCTATCTATGCTAAGGAGCAATACACATCTTCCATAATCAAGATGGGCTCAGAAGATGGGCAAATTGAGGTACTGTGGATCAGAATACAAGGGGGTTGGAGTGAAAGGGATTTGGTAATGGGGGTCTACTATAGACCGCTACACCAGGATGATGAGCTAGACCTGAAATTCTCAAGGCAGCTCTCAGAGGCAGTATACTCAAGGGACATGGCTGTTATGGGTGACCTAAACTACCCTGACATCTGCCGGGAGGAGCAATCAGCTAGATCTGATCGTTCACATGGGTTCTTAACGTGCATACAGGACCTTCACCTAACACAAGAGGTATACGGTCCAACTAGGGGAAATGCCTTACTAGACTTGGTGTTTGCTACAGGGGATGACCTGGTGGGAGACCAGCAGATACAGGGTAACCTCGGGGACAGTGACCACCAATTGTTGGAATTCAATATCCAGCAAAAGGTGGAAAAGATAACCAGTAGGGCAGGAGTGCTAGACTTCAGAAAGGCTAACTTCAATGAGCTCAGGAGATTAGTAAGAGAGTCACTGAAGGACAGAAGCACTCGTGAGACGGGAGTCCAGGAAGGGTGGTTGTTCCTCAAGGGAACAATCCTTTGGGTACAGGAGGGAACAATTCCATTGCACATAAAGGGAGGCAGAGGGGCCAGGAAACCCTCTCATTCCAGTAGAATAAAACCCACCAAAAGGAGTTTATACTAGGTTAAGGATGACAAATCTGTAGACCAAAAAAATAATTTATCCAAAATTGTAAATTGCTGCAGATGTATTCAAAGAATTGTAACAGGATTTTAAAACAAAACAAAGAACTTGTTCCTCATATTCTCCATACCCAAAATTGATTGTCTATAGGAAGACCATACCACCTCTTTATATTAATTTGAACCGAAAGCAGTATCTGTTCTTAATAATTTATTTTCATTGAATTGAGCTAAAGAATGAGTGGGCAATCTAATGGCAAATCTAAGGCAGGTCCTGCCTATATCTGCATGCAGTAACACACATTCACGCCCAATAGTCTTAAGTGCTTTGGAGATAAAATACAGTATAAAGCAAAGCTGTTCTTACTGTTCACATCCTCTGCCATTTAATAGTTTCTAATACTAACACTTTGCAGACATGTTTAACTGCTGTGCTATACCAGGCACCTGAAATATCACCAGTATTTCTTTGACAGTCTATTTAAGTGGTGGTGTATAGCTTAGTTAACTCCAGGCAGCACAGTCAGATCTTTTTGTATTTCTTCTATAATGTGTTTAAAAAATGCTGATGTGCTCTAGGCAACCACGGGAACCTGAAGTTCTGTTCTCTGAATTTAAATACCATAACACATCTTTTACTAGGATAGCAATGAATAGATTTGTCTCAACTCTCAAGACAGAATTGAAAAGAGCTAGATAAGCTGTTTGTCAGAGAACTTGAGCTATGTGGGCTTCAGTCCGCTTACAAGGTGATCTGTACCTGAACTGGCAGACAAAATAAGTAGAAAATTAATCCGATTTAAATCTGTTGTGCACGAACAAATCCGCTACAAGATAAGAAACATAATAGGAGAGAACTAGTAGAACGAACTGAAAACTGGTTTGAGAATACAAAAGCAAGTGGTGTTAGCAAAAGCGTTGTTTCTACTCAATGAGCAAGGATCTTGCAAGACGTTTTTTAACTATGCATAATAAGTAACTTGGAGCAGCATCTAATTTCAAAAGGAGCTAAAAACACATTCAGAAGAAAACACAAGGAAGAGAATGCTACCTGATATACTGGGTTCTTTGACAATACTTATTTGACAAAATGTAAAGCGAGAAAGCAAAATATCAGGTCTGATCACTTAAAATGGGTATAAAACAGAAGATGCAGAGACTGGAGGGCACTTGTAGATAATGCACTTAAACAGTCTACATGTTATCTGGCAGCCGTAAAAAGGCAAACATGGCCCTGAGGTGTTATCTTCAGGGGTATGGTAGATAAAATCTGTAGAAGTTATTCTGACATTATATAGAAGATTCAGTGAGACCTCATTATCTCAAATGCCATTCTGATCACTATGGCAGGAAATCTCTCAAGGAAAACAAAAAGAAGTTGCAAAATGCAACCAAAAAAAATCAGGTAACAAAAGGTTAGTAAAAAAAAAAAAAAAAATTATATATAAAAACATATATTTTCATGGGTTACAGGTGACTGGTTTGGACCTCAAGGTTCTGACAAAACAAAATATCATAAACTAAGACTAGTATTTGATTTATTCCATTACTTCTTGAAACAGGAAATGCAACTGGCAGAGATGGAAACAGAATTGTTTTAAAACAATATCAAGTTATGAAAGCCATCAGCCAGAAAAATAACAAACATCTTGGACAATTTCATAAAAGTGATTCACAGAACCTGCTGAAAGAAGCAACACAGGTATACAACCAGTCTGAACATACTACTTTGTTGTGCAAGGTATGTTTGACTATAACACACATGGACATTATCATAATATTTCCTTTTTGTTTCCAGTCTGATACCTAAGGATCACGAGCACTTAATTTCCTTACCGAATCATCAAGGCCATCTATATGTAAAACCACTGTTTTGGCACGTTTATTTGTGCTGCCCAGGAAAAACTGAGCTTTCCGCCGATGGTAATTCATCTCATTTACATTGTCCATATCTGACATGCTGGAAGACTGAAGGATGTCATAGATTTCAGAGGCTAAAAGTTTAGTCTCTCCTGGTGTAGTAGTCCTTAAGAAAAAAAAAAAAAAAAAAAGGAGGCAGAGATTTATAAGGATTAATTTTTATAATTGCATTTCAAAGGCAGCTATATTTATGTCCCAGTAACTTGAGTGCTCACTGCAGTACAGAAGCATTTGCATATAACTGATACACAAGAAAAAAAAAAAAATGGTCACCATTTATATGCCAATGTTATTGCCAATCAAGAGGGGAATCATTGAGTCATTATTGCACATGAGTTTTTATTCCACCATTACTGTTTTAATGCTGTAATAAGAACTCTTTGCCTTATTTTCTCTACACTATGTTATACCATTTTAGAAAGCTGAAAACGTTAAGTACCACCCCTTTTTTGGAAGGATATGGAATTCCCCTCACTTTCATTTTATATCGATTAGGATGTACGAGCCAACACCATGGCGTTCTATTTAATAACACTGCAGATGCAGCTGAGGGTGTAGACAAACATACATTTTAGCTGCTGCTGGGGAGCACACATCAGATGCTATATTATGTTATGCCTACATAATCCTGTAGTAATTCAAATTAGCTAAACTGCCCTCACTTTGACCTTGAATGAACAGGGTTAAAAATGGAGCAGCTTTGCTACTCCTGTATAGCTACAGAAACATGCAGAAGAGTTGCATAACAACAACTTGTATCTGTATTTTGTTTTTTACAGACAGACATAACATTTTATCAATACATCTTAAGTTCTCAAAACTATGTTGATGTAGCTTGAACTTGCGTTACAACAGCAAAGCAAATTCAGCTGAAGATACTGTAAAAAACAGCTGTCACTTTAATATTCATTAAATATTATTAGAGGATTTCAAAGCGCTATGGATAAAAACAGCTCATCTCTGTGTTTCATAATACAGAATATACCCATGTTAGAGACGCATGAATCGAGTCTCAGAGGCTAAAAAAAGCCAGCAGTGGAAGAAAGGAATAGAAACTATGAAGGCTCCAACCACTACCCCCCACTCTTTTTGTAGATGCTCCCTATCAGGTCAGAAATGCAAACAAGGTAGCGCTCCTTTAAAAATAACATCACTTAGATCAGTGGTCACCAACCAATGGATCTCGATCAACTGGTAGATCTCGGAGCCTCCTGGAATCGATTCAAGGCTGGGATGGATGGCTGAGTAACAGTGTGCATGCCCGTGCGTGCCCCACCCTAGCAGGTCAGTCCATGGGGGAGGGAACGGGCAGGGGCTATATCGAGGCCCCTGTGGTGAGGGACAGTGCCACAGAGGCAGGAGCAGGGGTAGAGTTGAGTGGGGCCCCAGCCAGGTGGGACTTACCTGCTGGGGAGGAACGGCCCCAAATAGTTTTTTCTCCCTCTGCCTCGATCTGCCCCCCCACTTCCCTCCCCACAGACTTACCTGCTGGGCGGGTGGGGGGGAGAAGGGTGGCAGTGGCACATGGTAGATCTTCGGTTCCTTTTAAATGCCAAAGGTGATTTCCTACTTTAAAAGATTGGAGACCACTGATTTAGATGTTATACAACTTTTTACAAGTGATTTTCTCATGCTTGATCACTACCAAATTAAACAGGGCACTGGTATGTTCCATTGATCTACTACAGTATCAACTTGCAATTTGTCTTACAATAATTGCTGCTTTGTTTGAAAACAGACATCACACCAGCGCAGCTAACTTGCACCTTCAGAGTTCTCTTCCTTTCCATTTCATTCGTTTAACACACCTCTTCTATCCTGATATAACAGCTGAGAACAATGCTGAAGCAAAAAAAAAAAAAAAAAAAAATCTTACTTTTGGTTTTCCTAATGAGTATACCCTTTCCTGGCCAATGTTGTGCCCATCTTCAAGAAGAGGAAGAGAGAGGACCCGGGCAACTATAGGTCAATTAGCCTAACTTCTATCCCAGAGAAAATCCTGGAAAAATGAATCAAAGAGTCTGTGCGATACGCTGGCAGAAGGTAGGATGCTGAACAACAGCCAGCATGGCTTCATCATGGGCAGGTTTAATCTTACCAAGCTCATCTCCTTCTACGACCAGGTAACTCGCCACCTGGACAAGAGAGAGGAGGTTGACATTGTATACCTAGATGTCCAAAAGGCCTTTGATCTGGTATCCCACAAAGTTTTCACGAAAAAATTGAAGAGCCTGCAGGCTTAACTGCTCAAGAGTCAGGTAGCTAGGAAGCTGGCTATGGGTTAGGACCCAGAGAGTTCTAATGAATGCATCTGTCTCATTCTGGCGAGAAGTGGCCAGTGGTGTCCCTCAGGGCTCGGTGCTTGGTCCAGTGCTTTTCAACATCTTTATCCATTATTTAAATGTGGGGATGAAGAACACACTGGCCAAGTTTGTGGACGACAACAAATTACAGGTGAGCGTGGTCATGCTTAAAGATAGGATGCAGATACAGGGGGACCTAGACAGGCTGGCAAGTTGGGTGGATCAGAACCAGATGAAATTCAACACAGAACTGTAAAGTGCTCCATCTGGGGACAAACAAACCCCAACATATTTACAGGCTCAGTGGCACCAAACTGACTAGACTAGCACCACGACTGAAAGGAACCTAGGGGTAAACATAGGCCATAGTATGAACACGAGTCGTCAGTGTAGTGCTGTAGCCAGCAGGGCAAACTATACTTTGGCATGCATCAACCGATGCATCTCAAGCAAAACCCAGGAAGTGATTCTTCTCAAACTGTGGAATAAACTCCCTCCAGATGTGGTGCACCTACCCTGGCAGTCTTCAAGATGAGACTGGACAGTCACCTCACTGGGGTCACCTGACCCCCAGTTGTCTTTCCTTCCTAGTGCAGGGAGGCTGGACCCGATGATCTTGCGAGGGTCCCTTCCAATCTATGAATGCTGTGACTACCCTACTTAAGTTTCTATACAGTGCTTAGCACATTTTAAAATAAAACATATTAAGAGGTGCACTGATACATCCGTCTGATAGCAGATTGGCCCCAATATAAAGAAAATTGACTATATCGGAAATCGACCTGAAGTGGCAGATAGTTTTGCAGATAAACGCCCGTACATGTGTGCAGCTGCAGCGCAGCACAGCCCGGCAGCGTGGAGAGCTGCGTGTAGCTGGTAAGCCTGTTGTGGTGGAAGGGGAGGTGGGAGGGAAGGGGCGTGGGGACTCAGATTAATGCCCCCTGCAGTGAGGGAGTGAGGCTGGGGTAGGTGCTGCCCAGCCAGGATGAGCCAGGCGTGGGACAGAACTGTGGCTCGTCCGGAGGGCATGGGCTGCTCGTCCAGGAGGGTATGGGGGCACGCTGGGGGAGGATGTGTCCTCGAACCTACGTGGGGCGGGCAAGGTGGACTGCTGCTGTGGGCTGGGGCCGAGGGCTGCACTGTGCTCAGGATGCATGGCAGTGCTGGGAGGAGACTACAGTGAAATATGGGGTGGCTGCAGCCCCCCCATGTAACCCTCCTCAAAGTGCTGCCTGCCCCTAGCACAGTCCACCCCAGCACCCTACATGCCGGAAAGAGCTCAGTGCAGCCTTGGCCCCAGTTGCAGCCCCCTGGCCCCAAATCCAGGGGGAACACACCCCTCCGTGCCTTCCCAGGGTGCGCACAGCAGTGGGGGCTGCGC